TGATGCTTCCTGTTTTCTTTCAAATCTATACTCTCAGACAAAAGGAAAAATATGATGTCCAAACATTTGTCTAAAATCTTAAAAGCAAATGAAGATTTTACATGTTTTTAGTAATTAATACAGGTTTTAGACTAAGACTCCTTTAACATTAAGTTAGTGTTTACTTATTAGAGCACCAGAGATAATATAATAGCAACTCAATGTATTCAAATATGACAACGTGGTCAAGATGTCAGAATGGGTGAGAAGGGGAATGATCAAAGTGACGTTGAATGGCTGGTGAACCCAGAAGGGCTGGCTCTGAGTATTTCAGAAACAGGTGATTTACTGGGATTTTCCTGTCCCACCATCTCTTGGGTTTACAGAGAATCATCTGAGAAGGAGAGAATTCTGTAGCAGCAGACGAGCACACCGCTCCTGTCAGCTAACAGCAGCAAACTGAGCCTAGAGCTCACACAGCCTCACAAACGTAGGAAAATAAAAGACTGGGAAAAACATTGCTTGGCGTGATGGGTCTCCATTTCTTCTGCAACGTTCAGAATTTGGTGTGGCATGAAGACATGGATCCATATCGTCTTGTAGCAGCGGTTCAAGTGACTGAGCGTACCGATCTCCTGATGACTGCTTACAGAGAGATAACGCACCATGTCACGCAGATTCAGACAATCTGCTTCCTTGATGTATAGATATAGTAAATGGTACTTATATAGAGCTCTTGTCTAACATCCATAGACACACAGTATGAAAAGATACAGTTATTTTAAAAAGTAACTCCCTAAGCATGCAATATTTAATTATAAAGTATTAGAGAACATAAAGTAAAACAGTAAAAGTAGCTCCAAACACACTTAAGTGCAGTATTAATTCATTAAAAAAACAAACAAAAAAAACCAAAAAAAACCTTGTCTATGTAAAATGATGACTAATCATGGTGTTGAGCAACTAGGCTACGAACAGAGGGCACAGCTGGATTGCATCAGAAATGTTCTGTTGTAACCTCTGATGGCGTATTTTGCTAGCAGTCCTACAGGAAGTAATTATCTTTAAAAAGTTCATAGCATGTTTTTTTTTTTTTTTTTGAAGGAGTCACATAACATGACTCAGTTTCAGATCATTCTGTGGAGTACATTCTTTCAAAAGAGTTGAACCAGAGCCATCCATAATTGAGTGAAAAAGGTAATTGGTGGGGGTGAGGACAGGCAGGGACAGTTTTAAATATAAAGCTGTTGGTGTTGGATATATCGGAAAAAATTAGTTGCATTTATTGTGTGATAGATGAGTTTAAATATCTCAAAAAATCTTTATAAACAGTGGACCTATTATGCCCCCAAATCTCCACCCCCTGTGTCAGCTGCAAAACAGACAAAAAACAAACTAAAAACCAGCAAAAAACGATTTAAACATAAAAAACAAAATCACAAAGAAAGAACAATACAGTATCCACATCTCCACCACAGAGTAAAACAGTGCAATGTGGATTATTAAACATTAGGTCTCTCATTCAAGTCTCTGTTAGTAGCCTACAGCGGCCCCCAACACCCGGGCCGTTTGGTATGGGGCCGTGAGAGTTGAGGTTCGGGTGTGAAATTTATGGTTTTCAGGGTTTTTATCGTTAACTCATTTTCCCTGGGTCTTTTCCCGTGTTGTAGTTGTGTGTCTTATTTTGAAAGAAATATTTACGTGTTACCATAGCGACCGGAGAGCATTAAGGGGCAGAGAGGAGGATGTTACTCTCAATGTTGTTGGCGCATTTGAGGAGGACGCTGCTAATTAAGTTACACAGTGAATTTGCGTTTATTGTTATATTTACAAAGTACCAATACAGTTTTTGTCTTGGTCGTAACATTTTATGTTGTTGTATTTATCCGCGACACCTTAAAGACATGAAAATATTGTCTGACATTAAACCGGTCCGTGATGCAAAAAAGGTTGGGGACCGCTGTGTTAGTACATGAGTTAATAACTTGATCAACAAATCGATTTACTCTGCCTTATAGAAACCTGCTCACAGCAGGATGATTATGTTAGCTTAAATGAATCAACACCCCCAAATCATAATAACTATCAGAATCCTCAAAGCATAGGCTGAGGACGTGGTGTGGCAGCAATTTTCCACACCAGGCTATTAATCAACCAAAGACCAAGACAGACATAATTCATTTGAAAGCCTGATGCTTAGTCTTGTCCACCCTAGCTAGAAAACACAAAAACCAGTCTTATTTGTTATTATCTATCGTCCACCTGGGACTTACACAGAGTTTCTGTCTGATTTCTCAGACTTTTTATCTGATTTAGTGCTCAGCTCAGAAAATAAATAATTATTGTGGAAAATTTTAACATTCATGTAGATGCTAAAAATGACAGTCTCAACACACACTGTCAACACAGATGGTCGCCCCTCCCTGAGCCTGGTTCTGCCGGAGGTTTCTTCCTGTTAAAAAGGGAGTTTTTCCTTCCTATTGTCACCTAAGTGCTCGCTCATAGGAGGTCATATGGGTTTTTCTCTGTATGTATTATTGTAGGGTCTACCTTACAGTATAAAACGCCTTGAGCTGGGTTTCGTTGTGATTTGGTGCTTTATAAATAAAACTGAATTGAATTAAAAGAAAACAGGGCCAAAAATATTGGACAAACTCCTGTAAATGGTTCCCATGAAGCTAATATCGGTGTGTCGTGTGTTTTGATCATTTCAGTAGTTTTTGTGTTGCTTTTTGGTTAATTTTTTTTGTTTTGTTTTGCCGTTGTTTAGCGACCCTTTGAGGTCATTTTATATCCATTTTTTAGGCATTTAGTCCCATTTTATGACAGTTTTCCATCCCTCTCATTGTGGTCTTTTGATTGATTCTCAGAGAAGAAGATTTGGCCCAGAGGTTTAGTTATTCACTCATTACACTAAAATAAAACAACAACAAAAAACCTCTGCCTCTTTCTGACTCCACACTGCTTTTGTTAGAAAAACTCAGTTCTGTTTGTTGTTAGGCGTTGTTTCTTAGTGTTTCAGTATGCAGAGCATTTTAAAGTGCGTGGGTCTGGGAGGGGAGGCTGTGTAAATACAACAGTGATCAGTAGTGGGCATGGTTTTTTTTGTGGGTGCTAGGATCTAGCAGAAAATGAAAAACAGCAACAACAAAAGAGTGATTAGGAGGTAAGACTGTCTACATTAGCCTACTTATTTAGCTTAAAGCATGGTTGTTATGGGAACACTGCAACTAAAAAAAAATATTATTTCATCACTTGTGTTTACACATTAGTTTAGGGTTTATTCTTCTTCAGATGCCGGCTTCTATTCAAGAAAACTAATAATACAATATAAGAGGATCAAGTAATCTAAAACTCAACATTTTGCTGACTAATAACAACTTTAGATTAATTCAGTACATTTTGTTTTGGCAGTGAACATAAAAGGAGGAAACGTGACACGCTTCAGCAGAGATCCACCCAGTCGTTATCCACACCTGAGGGAAACCAATCAAATCCTCCCATTCTCCCTGCAAAGCTCTCAGACCACAAGGACAAACTGTCTCAACGTAAGTAACAAGTAATTTTAAGTTTAAGGGCGGGTAGAAAAGAGTGAGGCAACACATGAATCATGCAAATTAGAATCAAGTGCAGCAGATATCTGAAACAATCTTTCAAAAGTTAATACAAGTGGCAAAAACGGTATGTTTGTCCATGTCCAGCCAATGTTTAAAAAGAAAAGAGCCACAGGAAATTTCAAAATCTGACCATTGTTTTCATCTAAGAAACAGCTGCAGAATTTCATCCACTGGATAAATTACAGAGCATTAACTCTGACTAAAAGTGGGTCAAATTTCTTAATCGAAAAACTTCGTCAGTGTTCCGTCTAATGACGTTACGGTAATTCTAGTTGCACAGTTTTGTGGAATTCCATTTTAAGCCTTTGACAGTACTGTGACGTATACAGCTAGGTTCAGACATTCACCAATGGCAATAGAGTTACTGTTTCAAAAACATTCATGTATTTGACACGTAAAGTTTCCTTTACCCTTGATTCAGCTGCCTCATGCCCGCACCGAGTTCATGGCAGCCTTTCCCACACACTGGGTGAGATATCAGATATACCGTGGACGGCCGGCATATTTACCTCCACAGCTGCTATAGAAACACAATTTAACCTGAAAAGCAGGTCTTTGAACAAGTTCAGGATTAAAACCTTCTTTCTGCAAAGCAACGTTTGCACCACAGTCTCTACTCCTATCAACTCCAACCAGTTGCGGCAGATAGCCGCCCCTCCCTGAGCCTTGTTCTGCTGGAGGTTTCTTCCTGTTAAAAAGGTTTTTTCCTTCCCACTGTCACCAAGTGCTTGCTCATATTGTGGGTCATGTGATTGTTGGGGGTTTCTCTCATTATTATAGGGTCTTTATCCTACAAGGCAACTTTTGCTGTGGTTTGGTGTTATATGAATAAAATGGAGATGAACTGAACCACAGTGCTGCGAGGCTTCTCGTTATATTGGCTAACTCGTACTCATACCCCAAGTTGGGCCACACGTCTAATCTTCTGTGAGCATGAATAAGTTGGATTTTGTTTTCCATCATCACACTGCAACCTGCTCTCACAAACACAGTTTTTAGACTCTGACACATTCATGCACATACATCAGGAGGGACTTAGGGTTGGGTGTCTTGCCCAAGGACACTTCAACATACAGACTGCAAGGAGCTGGGGATCAAACCTGACCCTCTAAATAGTTGCAAACCTGCTCTAAAAGGTAAAAATCATACGTGAACATGACAAATTTTGGTATTTATCCTCCAAGATAACGGAAGGAGAAAACTATTAGGCTCAATTTGAATGATTTAAATGTGCTACCTGTTTCCAAGCAGAAGAACAAAACGTACCTCCACCATCTGAACATGTTAAGTGTAGCCTCCAGGAAGCAATTCTGGAATTCACAGAAGTTGTGCATGAATGAGAGTGCTTTCATCATTACCGTGAGTGGGTGGAGGCAGTGCTACAAAACGGCCTGCCCTCATTCTCACTCTCCCTTTTATTTCAGCAGCACGCTGCAATCTCAGAGTCCTCTAAGTGCTTTTTCCTCCCCTGCTCTCGCTGCAGCTCTGCGTGGATTACAGCAGTCATGTTAAGAAACTCTGTTTTCTCCTGCTTTGTTTTCTACGGCGTGCTGCTGGTGTTAAAGATGTACGTAATAGCGGTCATAACGGGACAAATAAGACTGCGTAAAAAGGTGAGTGAGCTCCTTTATATGCCGCTTGAAGTTAAATGCTGTGTAAGTTTTTCTTCTTCCTGTTTGTTCTCTGGTGGAAAGCTTTTTCTTTTTTTCTTTTTTTTTTATTGTTTGTTTTTTCGCTTCTTCCCTGAAAGGCTTTTGCCAACCCCGAGGACGCGCTGAGACACGGAGGTTTACAGTATCACAGAGAAGATCCATATGTGGAAAGATGCCGGAGGTGAGCGTGCAGACGGGGTATTTTTTGTAAGACTAGACTGCTTGTGTTTAGGGGGATGGAGGGTCGCAGGAGGATATTTAAAAAAAAAAAAAAAAAAAAAAAAAAAAAAAGGAAAGGGGAAAAAAAGAGAAAGTTTTGGATTGGATTTAAAACAACAACAACAAATAAACTCCATTGTATTTGCTGCTTATGGCAAGTATTAGTTATACTATGCATTCCCATTGCATAGCTTTTACTTTTTGATTTAAAAAGGAATTCAGTACACTGCATGAAAACTGGTTCACTCAGGTAGATTTCAAATGCGCACAGCATTGAAGTACTCGAGTAAAATACCCTTGCATCATAAAATGAAAATTTTTCTACAGAACATGAATGACGTGCTGCAAGTTTTCTCCCGCGCAGATATCTGTCGCAAACCCGATAAAGTGTAGATTTATTTCCAGCGGATTTGTTCTCTTTTCTTGTGGGCTACTCCTCCACTGATGTTTCAGTAGCTTGTAGCACTGTGTGCGACAGATTTGTTTAAACTTGTCAGAATATGATCTGAGACAGGGGAGAGCAGATGTTTTTCTTACTAGTAAAACTTTCCCCTCTGTCTGTCCTGAAATGGTTTTTTTTTTTTTCTTTTTTTTTTTCTCCTGAGAGCTTGTGGTGGGAATCAACTCTGCACCAGGGGGAAACACATTTAAAATTTCCATTAATAACTAATAAAAATGGCTGCAGCACGACGTATTCCATGTCCAACCTTAATCATGTCTTTTATGTGCCCTTTTTTGTTTGTTTTCTGGGCAAAAGGGGATTATGATGGCGAGTGTCCTAGAACAATATTGTTTAAAAAGCTGCTTCAAGTGGGTGGAGGGGAAACAGGAAAGAGGTGATTAGAGAAGGTCGCAGAGCCCTTGCTTTGGCTTGAGATAGTGCTAGTGTGGGTTAAATGCATATTATTTTAGTCACCCTGAATATACATCTTCCAGGAATATCACAGGAAATCATTACCCCGAATCATAGTCACTCATGCGATGTAGTCACTTTACTGCATCATAGGTAGCTGAGTCACAAAACTGTGGAAAACAGTTGTGTGTCAGCCTCCGTGTGCTGACTTCTGTCTTTCTTTTCAGAGCTCATATTAATGACATGGAGAACATCCTCCCTTTTCTCTTCTTGGGCGCCATCTACTCCATGACTGGACCTTCACTGTGGGTGGCACGGCTTCACTTCCTCGTCTTCTTCATCTGCCGTGTGCTGCACAGCGTTGCCTACCTGCTGGCCCTGCAAGCACCGACCCGGTCCGTGGCCTACACCTTAGCTCAGATTCCCTGTGTGTCCATGGCCGTACAGATCCTGATGGCAGTCAAATCATATGCCTAAAAACACTAATAAATCAAAAACAAAATAAATCCAGGAACAAGGGACTGAACTAACAGCTGTGATCTGAGACTCAAGACGGCTCATTATGTGTGACCTGTGTCAGAAAGTAGTGGGAGAAGGATTCCTGTTGCACTTCCTGTAAAGACAAGTGGAAGTGCAATACAAGGTCTCTGATAACACCAGTGCTGGGTTTTGAGATTGATTATCAGTATTTTTTTTTCTTCTTTTTGGCAAAGTTTGAAATATAATAGTGTCTTATAAAGATTCCTGAAGCTGACATCACATGCAGTAGATGCAATCGAGGTTGTTGCTCCCCTTTTCTTTTCTTTTCTTTTTTTTTTTAAAGCCAGGAAATGCTGAAATTTAGAACAGGCTGCAGAGATTGAACTCAAACAACCTGGGATAATTTTCCACCTCTGCACTCCACTTTGGCCACTGATCTTTTGTGTTTACACAAACCATAGACCACTATTCATGTATTGTCATGCCACCCCATTCTTTTGTTTCCTTGTGGATGGATGCATGTTCCTGTGTCTGTTCAACAACAGCATGATGGATCCTGGTATGATGATTGATATGCTGAAAGTTTAAATACACTTGATGCTCTTTGTGTGTGTGTGTGTGAGAAACGGGTTCAGAGTACACGCCTTGCAACAACCTTCTGAGGAATTTTCTAGGGTATAATTGTGTGTAAATGTATCTGTGAAGGCACTTGGTGAGTTTTGTAATTTATTCAATTTAATGTTTTTGAAAGGAAAACTTGTAGACAATAAAAACTATGCACATCTAAGCACACCCAGCCTCTACCTTCACTTTGTGCTAAATGAGTTGTTCTTTTAGATAGCCTTGTGCTGCAGAATTGGTATGTTCTGGGGATAAGGGGGCCCCACTTTATGTGCGAGAGTGAGATGATCCAAAAGGCACCGGCAGAGTTCCAGCATTCCTTTGATTGTTATGTAAGACCTTCTGCTATGCTGTGCTCATTTTCCCTTTCTTTTTATTTTCACCCTGAGGCCAGGAGGGAGGTGCTGGAAGGCCATATAGAAATATTTACAGAAGGTGCCCAGTCATGCTTCCACACTGAGGAAAATGAAAGTTTGTGCGCCAACATAAAATGTTTTTCCATCAGTGATTACGCTTGATTTGGCTTTTCTCACTCTGGCGTGAAACTTTTTGCCCAATTCTCGGATGATGTAATTTCGTTTCCAGTGATTTTTTTTTTTTTTTTTTTTTTTTTTCCCCCCCCAACCCAGTGATCATGACTAAGCTCGAACTTACAGGAGCTCAGGTGTTTTTGTGATTTAAACAAAATGACTGACAAGGTGGGAGGACGGGGAAAATCCTTGGCTTTTAATAACAGAGCATTAACAATATGTGTAATCTGGTTGAAACATAAAGCTGGCATGCCAGTGACAGGGGTGTGTCTGTATCCTTGCATGCGTCAGTGTTGTCATAGTCTCAACGTGCCCCCCCCAGCCCTCGAGGGTAAAAGGAAATGTGGTTCCTGACCTCCTACCTACACTTCTCACTGTAATACATAATTTCCCCTAGTGATCAATAAGGTATTCTGATTCTGAATAAGATCAGTGTGAAGTAAAATATTTTTCGTTTCCCATGCATGCTGTTTTTTGGTTTTTTTTAAACTTCTGGATTGGAGGAAAACTCTGACAAAAGCTCTGTTTTTGCTGCTGTTCGCTGTTAAGGGAGATCAGTTTACTTTGGACCAAACTTTCTTTTGTTTTAGAAGTGCAGGCTCTCCTGTGTGAGATTAAAAAACAAACTGGTCATTTTAGTAAAGCTACATAAATATTTACCCCCATCTTGTGGACACACAGAGCACTTCTCAGCCAGATCTTTTCAGCTTTCACTCCTCAACCAAATGGCGATCGTGGCTCAAAGAGTTGGCAGTTTGTCTTGTAACCGGAAGGTTGCTGGTTCCAAGGTTGCCGGACCCAACGACAGTCTCGATCGTTGTGTCCTTGGGCAAGACACTTCACCTGCCGCCTACTGGTGATGGCCAGAGGGGCTGATGGCGCGATATGGCAGCCTCGCTTCTGTCAGTCTGCCCCAGGGCCTCCACCAGTGTGTGAATGTGAGAGTGAATGAATAGTGGCATTGTAAAGCGCTTTGAGGGTCCTGAAAAGCGCTATATAAATGCAATCATTATTATTATTACAAATTTTTGACTTTGACTAGTAACAGTACATAGACACCTATTAGAGTTATTAAAATAATAGTTCACACCAGCTAAATAATTATCTAACACTTTTCTAACACCACAGAATCTAAACTTGTATAACTATGATGTTCCACTGTTCTGTGTCTTATTTCAGTTAAACTGATTTATTTAACTTTACATATTAATGTCAATATAGGCAACATGTGGGCCTGAAAGGGCCCAATGCATAGTAACTTCAAAAAACACCAGTACATGCAAACATAGTATTAAAGCGCACAAAACACAACGGAAGTTAAATAAAACACAACGGAAGGAGAAAAAACATTGCTCACAAAAAATGGGGATTTTGAGGAGACAATAATGTGACGGACCAGCTGCGGAATGGGCAAGCTAACAGTAAACGGCTAATAGCAAACATCTATCTGCGGTATTATATGAACTATGTGATTAAAATACAATTATGTTTCACCTTTTTCTGAGTCACAGATGAATTGCACGCTTCTTTTAATCATGTCTCTGCTCAGTCCTTCGCATGTTTTGGTTTCTGTCACTGCTGCAGCTGTTCTGTCACATTAATGTCCCCCCGGAAACACTTCCGCTGTGTTTTGTGTTCTTTCATAGCGTTTTCCTGCTAGTGTTTTATGAGATTTTCTCTCAGATTCACTGTAGTCATAACCAAAAAATGCAGAGATTTTGGTCTGAGTGGGTATGACGGTATCACACAGCTGCTGCAGATTTGTCAGATGTGACTCCATGATATGAATCTCCCCTTTATGACATGGCATGCTCTCCTGTTGGAATCAGCCATCAGGAGATGGGTACCCTGTGGTTATAAAGGGTCGGTGTTTGACCTCCTAGGACCTGGTGTCTAGACTAAAATACTTAATTTTTCTCTACAAGGGCCTGATATTCACTTGTGAGGACATTATACTGCCACCGTTCTATCAGAATTTAAAACCAATGTCCTCATACGTGGATCTCATTTGTATCAGAAACAAAAATTAGGTAAATAAATAAATAAAAATCTGGTAATTTTTTGTTTTTACATTCCTCAGGTCCCAATCAACCCAAATAGCAAAGAAAAATTTAAAATGCATGCCAGGAAAGAGTTTGGGTCTTAGGAGGTTAAACAAGGCTCAGTTGTTAGTGTGCCAAGAAAATATTCACCAAACCATTACAGTATCTGCAGCAGCTTGAACTGTTGATAGAAATCAGAATCCAGCTTACATGCTGTTTAGATCAAATTCTGACCTTATCATATGAATGATGCAGCAGAAATGTGAGACTTATTAGACCAGGGAATGTTTTTCTATTCTCCCATTATCCAGTTTTGCTAAGCCTGTGTGAACTGTGGCCTTGGTTTCTTGTTCTTTGCTGACAGATGTGGCACTCAGTCTGGTCTTCTGATGCTGTAGCCCATCTTCAAGGGCTAACATTGTGTGCATTTAGAAATTCTCTTCTGCATACCTTGGTATGACTTACTGTTGCCTTCCTATCATCTCCATGCTGTCTGGCCATTCTCCTCTGACCTCTAACATCAGCCGTAATCGCACAGAAAACTGCTGCTTACTGGATATTTTCTCTTTTCCCGACAATTCTCTGTAAACCCTAGAACTGGTTGTGCAGAAAAATCCCACCAGATCAGCAGTTTCTGAAATACTGAGAACAGTCCAGCACCAGGAGTCATGTCATTCCCATTCTAATGCTCAATTTGAACTTCAGCAGCCACGTTGTGATGGGCGTTGAAAAGGGCAAGTGAGTAAAAGGTGGTGTGATGCTAGTATCGGTGTTCTGCTGGGCTTTGGTAGTTGTGTGTACTTCGCAATGTACTACAAAGGTAAACATTTACATTGAACCTCATAATCAGATTATTGCTGGGTTAAAAATCCAAACAGAAAGAAATGCTCCATTTAAACAACTCAAGACTAAACAACCCCAGACCTATGACTCAGTCAGCTACAGAAAAGAGAGTTAAAGCAGAAATGTATGTTGGCATTTAACCTTAACATTACTTACATTGCTTTCAGCCTGCATATATCTATATCTGTGTGTGTGTGTGTAAGCCAAAGAAACCACCCAACAGAAATTTCATAAATATTTATTACATATCAATGAACAAAATCAACTACTTTCACAGCAGTGGTCTACAGCACTTGTTTAAAATAACTGCTCAAATAATATTAATATTAATAATAATATAGTTCAGTTTCCTTTGAGGCCACATTTGATACACAAACATTTACAAGTATTACTTGGCATTAAAAACGATGGCGATACAATATTTTAAGACACTTGGTGTTTTTTTTGTCAATTTTCTGTCATTTTGATATCACAGAGGTTCAGCAACAGTCTAAACAGTAAATATAGATTCAAATACAAAAACCCCCAAAACAAACTAAAATACCAACCAAAACAAACAAAACAGTAAAAATGCCAAGGGGAGGTAGAAACTAAAGACAAAAATACAGAAGGAATCGTAACAACGCAAAGCGGGAGAAGCAGCATTCCCCGAGTCATCCACCCTCATTTAGACACTAAAGAAGAGTAAAAATCCCTCCCGGTTCCTCCTCCTCCTCTTTCTTCTTCTTCCTCTACCCCTTTTTCTGAGTTACGTTTTGCTGTTAGAGGGATTCACGCAGAGGCAGGCAGGAGAACAGAGCAAAGGTGTGAAGAAATGAGAAAAGAAGAGGCTCATGCTCAATCTGAAGGCTGCTATGATGTGAAACAAGCATACAGAGATGCACTAACACCTATATCAGGCTAGTCACCTTTGCCAAACATTTCCCTTTGTATTACTGTCACTTTGCTTAGCTTTTACATTGACACAAAGCACCATTTAACCTTTTCAGTGCTGTAATTAGGTGTTATAAAGTGGGTTCTTACTAACATTAAATGAGAAGTGTAGTTGACCCTTTGTGTTAGAAAGGATTGTGAGATTCTGTATGAAACTTTTTCTAGATAAAGTAATCCTGATAAAGGTTATTAGTGTTGGAGGTGCATTTACATCACAAGTGGGGTGGATGGTACAGATGTGGAGGTTTCCCATGTTGAACCTGTGGTGGTTAAGTTTTGTCTCCCTCCTCTGGCTGTGACAGTAATTACACAAAGTTTGTTTGACCATGTTTGACCTGTTTTAAAACCATGCACTCTCACTTGCCAAGTTTCT